TGAAAAAGACATCCCTTGTTCTCTCACAGGGAATGCATAAGAAATACGTCATTTCTTGAAGATGCCAGGAAAACCAAAATATCTACATCAGCCTATTAAATTTATAGGCTTTGGTACATCATAGGGAGTAAGCTGCAAAGACAGTTAAGTAAAACATCTTGTTGCAGTACGGGTGGTCCAGCACAGCAGAGATGGCTTTGCCTCCTCACAGACGGATTCAGTCATTTGCCACTATCACCTGCTAAGGCCAAATACAAAAGGAGCTTCCTAAAGGCACTGCATAGCAGTAAACAGCACGTGACACTACATCCTGCCAGTCAATTTACATGCTGATGGTTTTTAATGGCACTAATCTTGTTTGTTATGGAGGCTGAACACTCAGCAGCAGAATTTCTAAACATCTCGACATACTTTACAAGGCTGGGCGGAGATTGGATTGAGAGCAGCCCTGAGGGAAAGGATTTGGGAGTGCTGGTGGATGAGAAGCGCAACATGAGCCGGCAATGTGCACAGGTGGCCCAGAAAGCAAATCGTATCCTGGGCTGCATCCAAAGCAGTGTGGCCAGCAGGTCGAGGGAGGTGATTCTGCCCCTCTACTCAGCTCTCGTGAGACCCCACCTGGCATACTGTGTTCAGCTCTGGAGTCCCCAACACAAGAAGGACATGGACCTACTGGAGCGAGTCCAGAGGAGGGCCATGAAGATGATCAGAGGGCTGGAGCACCTCTGCTATGAAGACAGGCTGAGAGAGTTGGGGCTGTTCAGCCTGGAGAAGAGAAGGCTCCAGGGTGAATTTAAAGCAGCTTTCCAGTACCTAAAGGGGGCCTACAGGAAAGCTGGAGAGGGACTTTTTACAAGGGTGTGTAGTGATAGGACAAGGGGCAATGGATTTAAACTGAAAGAGGGCAGATTTAGGTTAGATATAAGAAAGAAATTTTTTACATTGAGGGTGGTGAGGCAGTGGAACAGGTTGCCCAGAGAAGTTATGGCTGCCCCATCCCTGGAGGTGTTCAAGGCCAGGTTGGATGAGGCTTTGGGCAACCTGGTGTAGTGGAGGATTTCCCTGCCCATGGCAGGGGAGTTGGAACTAGATGATCTTTGAGGTCCCTTCCAACCCTAACCATTCTATGATTCTATGATTCTAAGATGTCCATTTTAACAGCCCTAGCAGGGGAAAAAGTTCATGTGTGTTGTTCAACTGGTTAGCCCTGCAGTCAGGGACAGCATCAATTGTTACCCCAGGCTCAAGCTGTTCTGGGAATTATTGATCCCATCTGAAGCTTCTGCCATGGAAATCTTTTTGTCCAGTCAGCACAACCTGAGTGGACTGATGCACACTCCCTCAGCTACGGCCGTTTAGTCAGGAGTTTAATCTTATGCTTATGGACTACTGAAATACACTGCTGAAGGTTTTACAAGAGCCCTGCCTTGTTCTTGTTGAAGTTAACGCAAGCAAGAAGAATTATCAAGCCCCTGGTCCTCTTTGTGCTCTTTCAACAGTTTTGATAGGAGTGAGAATATATACTGCCAAATCTCAAACCTCAGCCGACATGATCGGTGTGATCTGCCATGGGAACAAACGCCCTTTTTTCTTCCTGCGGCATGTAACATGCCCCAAGAAAGTCATAAAAAAATTGGACTTAGTTTCTTAATTCAGATAAAAGTATTTGCTATACCCTCAATGTTTAGAGTTCCAATATTTCTGCTTCACACTTGCAGATACAGATGTAATTGAAATCTGTAAGATTAAAACAACATCAGAAGTTAGTTGTCTTTGTTTTCTCCTGATTAGGATCATCAGCAAAGTTCTGAAGAACTCGGTTTAGCAATCAGACTTGCTAATTGCTTTCAATAATTTCTCCCAGGTGTCTCAAGTCTGGAGACTAGACCCTACATCCCGCTGTAAGCATCATGCAATAGAGGACATGGCAGTCTTCTGCTTGCATCTCCAACCTGGAGCATGCAGAAAACATGGAGAGCAACACAGGTCAATCTCACATGCTGTGCCTCTATTCCACCAGGTCCTTACCTTTCCCTTGGATATCTATAATCATCTCTGCTGTTCTCTTCCAGCTTACTAGGTGGCATTTTTTTAAGGCAGATATTTGGGTTGGAGACTAGCAAGAATCAAGTTTTATATTAAATTCAAAATCAAATTCCAGGCTTAGCTTTTTGTTTGTTGAAAAAAAAAAAGCCAACAAAACAACAACTTACTGAACTAATAATTCAAGCATCTCACTCCCATCAGACTGTTAACAATTTTCTGTCATCTGCAGATTGACACTTGCCTGTACACAATACTACACCCTGTCAGCACAGAAAAGACAGTAAACTACTAAATGAATGCCATAGCGTTAGTATTGCTGCCTTCACCTAAGTAATACTTTATGAAGCTACACTGATTGCCCAACTAGTTACTAAAAAGTCAGTAACTGACCTTTCTTACTATAGCTATCCCTATCAACTGCCACAGTATACGTGCATATACATAGATACACACACAGGTGCATATACATACAAAACAAACTGAATTTTCATTAATTAGTCTTTCATATGAGTTCAGGCAACTGGTATTTCTCTACTGTATTCCAAAGTTATTAACTGATAACCAACAACCCTCTTTAAACTATTCTTCTGGTGTGGAATTCTTCCCTGTAATTCATTGTGTTTAGAGATCCTCTCATGGCAACAGCTTCTATAAAGACAGTAATATTCCCTCCAGTTTCAGAAAATTGAAATCTAGACCAGGGTCCTACAAATAAAACAAAGTGAAGGACTGTACTAAGACCAAGAAGGGTTTAAAGAGCCAAAGTAGTTAGTTCCAAATGGCTTCAAATACCTTGATAAAGGTGCTTCCTTAAGACCTATAAAGTGTTGTACATCAGTATAAAATTCCGGAAAGGAAAAAAAAAAAATTGACTTTACCGGAAACAGCCATAGTATCACTGATCCATGCAATTGAAAATATCCAATCCTTATGTCCATCCTAAAAGAAAAAAAGACAGATTTTTCTGTGCCATTATACTCTAGATTAGTCTCAAAGCAGACAAGTATTCTTCACTTTGACTTTTAGTACAAACTTAAAAAGAACAGACCTACATTAAAAACATACGGAGAAGATTCCCGTATCAAGATTTTAAGCACCTAAGAGTAATTTTAACGTTTTTTGATTTTGAGTGTGTAATTAATAGAGAGCAATCAGCTGATAGCAAAATAGGTCTCTGACCCAGGACAAATTGATCTCAAATCTAAAGACAGATTTCCCATTTTGAAAGCAGCATTCTTGACTTCTGTAAAGCAGCTACATACTTCTATTTCCTCAAACGCAGATCCCTACCATAAAAAGTAACCAAAACCTTATGGTTACAATATATGACCTACAGATTAATTTTTCAGGACTATTACTTGAAGAATCTTTTCTTTAGCAGGTGAGAAACCTATGGGGAAAAAAGACCATAGGGCTCTACTTCTGTCTGAAAAGCTGCAAAGTCACAGCAGCACGCAGATGAATAGCAAGTCACACAAATCTTCAGAGTCCAGCCTTTCTGCAGCTGGTTATCTGCTACTGCAGAAACTCTGACCTGACCTCTGCTGTTGTAGTTAACGCCTATGTGAAGTCCCGAATTAAAAGGAGAAATGAGAGAGAAGTGCTTACAGGACACCACTATACTAATTTCAGCCTTTTTTCTTTTTAAGACTGGCTATTTTAAGAAGTTCTTGTGATGTTTCAGAAATATAAGCAGTAGCAGACTCAGAACTAATGCTCAAAGCCAAGTTCCACCTCTGGAATAATACATACATAAGGTGTACTGGAGAAGGGGAATATCTGAACAGTTTCTAATATCTTTTCAAGTTCTCCAAAGAGCTTTTTCACTAAAACTAGTTTCAGGGGTCATCACCACAATTTAACTTTAACATTTAGGATTCTGCTATGTTTTCAGTGCTTAAAAGCAATCTGAAGTAGATCTGAATGAGGGTGAAGAAGAAATTTGACTCGGAACCCTGAGAACCATCTCACGTGCTTGTGTACTCACTCATATTTAAGACATCTTGTCAAAAAACACAACTTAATTGGGAGTATTTTCAAGCTTTCAGAAATTCACTCTCCACTACAGACTCCCAAGTCTTAACCTTGCTCTGACTTTAGCACTTCAAAGTAGTAATTCCTCTCAGTGACAGAATAAGCTTTCACCCAGTACTCCCACTTACATCTCCCACACAGACAGGATCAAGTGTAGGCAGACGATAAATTGCAAGGCTGTTGGGGTTGTCTCCACCTGTGGCAAGAAGGGTCCTCGAGGGGTTCAGCTCAATGGCATGAATACCACATCCCTGCTGATTCACCATGCCGGGTTCACGATCTTTCAGAATAGGAATCTTGGTAATTTGACCAGTCTGGACATCTACTACAAATAACTGGGGAAAAAAACAGAAGATGTAAGTCATCATCAAAGAGTTAAGAAAATAAGATGGTCGAATATCTTCTCTATTTTGAATTTACATTCTTTTCAAGTTGGAATCCACACATGCTGCAAGTATGGCTGAAAATAGCATAAATTCCTTCTTAAAACAAATAAATTAACTTAATTAGTCAGGTTTATTTCGATCATCCCATTTGGTTTCCACAGCAATAGAATAAAGAGGAGAGAAATTTGTCATGGGAGGTTGGTTTCCCATTCAACAAAACCCTCAAATCTAAAACTCTTTTTCCTGCTCAATACGATGACAAAACAATATTATTTTCCAGCTTCCCTGTACAACAGTGAGAAACAGACCCACCTCAAAAGAGCCAGTAAGCCCCAGCCAACTTAGCACAAGTCTCCTGCCTCCCAGATAAGACACTTACCGTGAAGTTTTGGCTTTGACAAACTGACACTTTATAAATTTATACAAGTGGAGTTTATTTTCTGGTGATACATAGAGAATAGTAATTAAATATAGTACCAATGCAAACATCTAAAGCAGATATCCAGCTACATACCTCACCCTGCGAAAAGACTTGAAGTTGGAGCTCTCTGTTACTGTCCCCCTGGCAGAAAACTCAGCTACAAAGCCTTACAGCTCTTGAAACAGACATCATTACATCCAGAGTTATGTCAGTTCAAACATATACGACCACAGGATTACAGTCTGAACCAGAACAAAGGTTTACACTGCCTGCTGAAGTCCACTTTCATGTGGGAGGCTTCTGAGCTGGATCCTTTCACAGATGTCATTCAGAGGGCAGCTGCGCTAACAGTCAAATAGGTACAATGGAGGGGATGAAGCCCTGTGGGGGAACACAAGTGAGAAGCAAGGAACTGGAGGATCTGAAGCGGACTTGGGACTAGGCAAAGTGATGTAGAATTATAGCCCAGGATTATAATTAAATTCCACACACACGCCCCTTAAGCTTGTTCCTTCTATAACCAAAGAACGTTCTCTCAAAGCCTCTGGAAGTGAACTGAAGATGGAGAATACAATAACAACAAAAGTAAAGTCAATGCATTTTAAAAGATACACACCTCGAGGAAATTGTTCTGAAATCCTTTGTCATACCTTTCTAGAAGGACAGGAGAGGTTCTTAAGAGAGAAGTTACACACAGAAGTTGCCTCATACCTTTCTAGAAGGAAAGAGACCTTCTCTCTTCTTAAGAGAGAAGTTACACACAGAAGTTGCTTTTTGTGAGCTCTGACAGACTGTAGATCTGTTCCTCAATAAGAGTAAAAAAGCCCAAATTTAGCAGCATATCTGTTATTTCTGATGTACTGAACTAGCAGAATATTAGTCTCAAATCAAAATCTGATAAAGCATGGTATATTAAACTCTCTCTACAGAGAAAGCTGAAATCCATGCATTGCCATTTGTGTTTTGTGGCTAGAATTACATATCACCTTCAGCCTGCAAGTGATCTTCCTCCGTAGGCAGCAGTCTTGCACAAACAGGTGACTGTAGAGGGACTGAATTTTGACATTTAGTTCTTTAACCTGCATGCAGGTGTGGCATCAGGCAACAGCTGAAGAGCAGCTTGAGCAGGAGGGAGGCACTGCTCCCTTCTCCCAAGCCTTACAGTGCAGCTCACTGCTGAGACAGCTGGTGAAAACATGATGCATGCAGCAGCCCCTCTGCCCTAACCTTGTCCCTGAAAATGAGCACTTGGCTGGCACTGCAGGATCAGGACCAGTAATTCCTCCTCATCCTCCCTGTCTCCTATGAGTACACATCCTTTTCTCCTCCTGTTTCCTTTCAGCAAAAACACCCAATTGCCTCCTCCACCCTCCTTCAACTACTGAAAAATACTAAAAAACCAACAGTTAAGTATCTGAGATTAAGGCTTGCAGGTTTCATCTGCAGGTATTAAAGCTAGCACCAGAACTGCTAATTAGAAAAACACATCCACATCTTGGGATATCCATGGACTCCGGAAAATCATGCTTCCGTGTTGAGGAGATTCACACTTCAAAGAGCATCTCAACAGGTATGAGGACTGAAATTAAAACCCCTTCACATTCTCCAGTCTGACATCTCTAACATACATCTGTGATGGATACAGGTTAATAAAAGACTTAACTCTAATGCAAAATTCCTTCAGCTAAACATTAAAATAATTGGGCTGAAAAGGTGAATTTTGAAACACACAACGCTGAAGTATCAGACTGTCACACATCTGCCCTGGATCTTCAACCTCAACATCATTTTCCTGTAACAAGTTTCCCAGTTAAGGTATTCTCAGAAGCAGCAACGGGACATATTTCTTGCAGTGCTTTAACCTGCTTGTATCCAACTCTAATCCATTGTCAGCCCTTGAATTGCTTTGTTATTTCCTCACTTTCCTCCTCCAGTTACATAGTATAACCATAACCAGAACAGCAACTGCTCTTAAGGCAAGAAATTTCGCAGTTAAGGGACTGGCTTTGTAGTTTCAGCTGTAAAGTTCTCAGCAGTAGCTTCTCCTTTTGGTTTGTAAGGAACTTGGCACTAGTTTAAAAACAACCACCACCTCCCTAGATGAAAATAAGCAAGCACTGTCTGCATTGCTGGGACTCTTGCATCACCTGGGGCAAGACAGGAAGCCAGAAGCTCGAAGTTGCTCACTGCACCACCGACTGTAGTGGCTGGGAAAGCAGCAAACAGAAGCCAGGAGAAGCCAACAGTTTTTAGACACTTCTAAAGCCAAAAAGGGAGAAATGTTAAGAAACAAGACAGGCACCTAGCTAAGAATGGAGAAAATTTGAATACTGTTTTAAGACTTTTAAAGACACTGCAGTAAATAAAGTACAAAATATCTGCCTGCTTTTAAACAAGCGCAGTCAAAACCATAACACACGATGACTTGGATTCCAAGTAAAACCAGAAATCGACCTACTTCTTCCAAGCAAACCGATACCTTCGCTTCTTTTAAAATAAGCACATCTGCAAATAACTCCAAAGCAGCCTGGACTCCCAAGAGTCTTGACAAAGTCCTGATAGTTGAATTATATTTTTTCCCTTATCCTAAGCAGGAATAACAACTTCTTTTGCAGCTACTCATTATACAGAAACAAAAAAACAGCCACAAAAACCTTTTCCTGGATGCAGTAAATCTCCACGAACCTCCAAATAGTGAACTGTGCATAATTTGTCTCTTGATTTTAAGCTTCATGCATGATTTGGTTCTTCCTGCTAGTAAAACATACGCATGTCTGTCATTAGCATGCCTAATAATTGGATATCCAGGATTTACCAAGCCAGGAGTGCTTTAGCCACCTGCCTGAAGTCCAGGCACCACACTTCATCTGTGAGAAACAGACCAGACTCAGCTATCGTGTTCTCTGCAGTACAATCCTTTCTAACAAGGAAACAGGCTGGATGACATGACAGAGAGAAATTCACCTCCTCCCCATGTTTTTCTTAAAAAGAAATTCACTCGTACAGCTTGTAAATGTGCTGTCACTCGAGGACCAAGGCACACAGGCATGGCTAAGTACTACAGTTGTAGGGCCAGATCAAAGATTCATGGCTATGACTTTTCACATCCCATGATATTACTAGCTGTATGCTTATTTTTGTTTTGGTTTGCAGAAGTGGTGAGAAGTCATTTTGGCAAATGACTTCCATGCAATTACTATGTGGCTGTTCCCTTTCAAAACAGCTTACAATCAAGTTAATCAAGAAACTGCCCCACTTCATTAACTACAGAATTCCATTTATTAACTTGCCAAAAGTAAAGCCTGTGGAAGACACCAAGTATTTGAGGACCAGAATCTGAACTGCAAAATCCATCCTTCTCTTACATATAATACTATGAGTAGAACAGCTTGCAAGGCTCTTCTGTCAAGTCTGCTTCCATCTTCTGACCTGCCTTTTGGAGACAATAGTTTAGGGGGAAAAAAAAAAACAAAAACACAACTAAAGTTACGAGTTCATTACATCTAAGTGCCCTTTCCATACAACTTTAACTGAAATCACTGACTTTACACAGCAAGATTTAAAACCAGGCCTATGAAATGCCATTTCAAGGCAGCATGAAGTCTCTCATGCCGTCCGCTGCTGCCCCTGCACACAGAACAGCAGATCAACAGGCAGCTTATCTTCTAGTTGTTCCTACAAATCAGTCGGAATAAAAACAAAGGGTGCCAGCCTGAGCTACACCGTGTTTTTATTACACAAGTAGGACAGACATAGATTTACCAGGCACAAAGAACATGCATGAAAGACTGCTTATTCTTCACATAGCAAGTGCTCACCATACACTCTGCACTCCAGCTCTTCACGTACTGCTCTCAGAAATCACAGGCGTGTTCTTGTCATTCACACTAATATTTGAAAGAAACCCCAGATAAACACATTGCCTTGCTAAAAACAGAGTCACTAGGAGAGATCAATGGTGATGAACTTTCAAAACTGGCTCAAGCCAATCTTTGAGAATCCACATGCTTCCTCCTCATCCACCCAGTCTCTCAACCCTTGTGACAGCAACGAGCGCTCAGGTGGCTGCAAGGTCAGCTGGATCATATCTGTGCCTTCAGTGAAAACTGACTGTACAAGAAAACCCACCTGAACATGAAGCAGCAAGCTGATCCAGCTGACTCCTCAGCCACACGCCCATCCATGCCAGCAAGAACACGCAGGTGGGAACATCTCATTCTGCAACAGTGCAACTACACAAAAATTTCACCCTCAGCTAAAGCTGGAAAATGACATCATTGCTCTCCTTCAAATTTGTTTTTTGCTAAAAAAACATCAAAAGCAAGACAATGCTTACAGTATCATTACACCAGTACCATTGCTGGTCACACTGAGTACCACTGTTTCATTTTTCCCAGTTCTGTCTTGCATTTTATTCAGACTGCAAACATCTCGTTTCCGTTCATAAAACGCTTGACAAAGTTCTTCCATTCTATGGCAACACAGGTTTACTAACACACGCCAAGCCCCAAAGAAACATGGACCCTTTAATGACTAAGCTATCAAACTGATATCTCCTTTCCAGTGAAGATCAGAACACGCACTAAGCACAAAACCTACTCACAGGATGACGCAAGTGGGTAATGGCCTTACACATCCTCCTTGAAAAGGTCCAAAGAGAAACAATCCAGGATATCAAGAAAACATCTGAGAAGTGAGCAGCAGTAAAAGCAGCCAGCAAGCTGACTGACTCCGAATTCACATTTCCAGAGACAAGACCATGCCATCAGGCACTCCACCTTGCTATAAAACTCTAAAGCACTACTAGCTAATGGGCACACACTTCGATGTCATTGAATTTGTTCACTGCCAAAAATCACATTTGTCAGTTTTTATTTGTGTCTTGCCCTCCATGTATAATTTCAGGAGGCCAGCAGATAGTTAACACATGTCAGTAGATGGCAAAGGATGGAGAAGTGAAAAACTTCGCCTGCTAAAATGCATCTCTACCACCCACACTATACCTGGCACAGAATCTACCACGCTCTGAAGACAGACATAGGCATCACGTGCAGCTGACAGAAAACCAAATACTCTTGGGACAAGAAACAAATCTTGACTATTTACTCACAAGCCACTGAAAAAAAGGTGAATGGAGGTATCAGTTACAGGCATCAGAGGTTTATTTACACTGAGTTTTGGTCACTGTCCAGTGGACTTTGAGCAGAGTTACAAACTGCAGGAACATGGCGTCTCACTCTCTCCCTGGGATCGGAAACAAGCAGTCTTCTCGATTCCTCATTACATGTGCAAAACCAGAAGATACGTTAACTTGCAAAGCAAGTGGAAATCATTTTCCCCACAGAGAATCCATGTTCATAGACGGAAGAGTAACTGTGCATGGTATTCTCACCACTACAACCCCAGGACTGCAAGACAAGGTGATAATTGTATGAGATGCACAGAACAGTCACAGGACTTCTTGAACAAATTATAAGTCTCTACGAAGAAACAAGAGCTGGTGATTTACAGCAGGGCATTGAAGCCAACATACAAATCTACCAAAAAGAGAGAAGGTATCAGCTAGCATTCAAAAAACAATCCATTCGTGCCTTGGAAAATACACCTGAGAAACCAGAAGAAAGAATTTGGTAAGGAAGTTTTCAAACACAAATATACCTATCAGGCCTGCTTAGGAAAAAAAAAAAAAACGCAAGCAAACAAAACCATCAGATTGGAGGCAACTATATCCTCAAGCAACTGGAAACTAATAAGCTTCTTTTATTCAGAGAATTATTTACAAATCTTGTATGTTTTCATCCTTAACTTCACAATTAGCAAAATAATTAAGTCCTGAACATATACACAGAACTAAAGGAACAAAAGAAGCTGCAAATTCATAACTGGAACTTCTTTATTAGAAGTTGCTTTATTCTTCATCATTTCCTGATGTGGCAAAAAAAACCCCAAACTTCAGCAATCTTGTACTCAGTATTTTCATTTGCCCTAAACTGTCTCCTACATAAGTCTCAAAGTTTCTCTAGTAAGCTTAAACAGAAGACTTTGATTAAAGACAATACCTTTTGAGACTTCTCAGGTATCAGCATTTGGTAATTTAGATGCTGTGGTGACACACCCTAAACATCTGCACCTCTCAGATGTTTGCCTGCTCATTTATTTGAATTGGAAAAAAAATAAGAAGCCCATTGCATACAACATCAAGGAGATTCTTGCAAACGTGAATCCTGCCTCAGAGAGGCCCAGGTGATTGTGTTTTAGATTTTTAGACACTTGATTTTTACACTTGATTTTTAGACACTTGAATGCTTGTATAGGTTCCATAACTCTAAATCTGTCAGAAAAAGCATGCACATTTAAGAAACCCAAATATTCAACTTACAGCTGGCCAACTGCGAGCACCAGGATCCACACGAGAACAATAAAGTTATTATACATACACAATCATACCCAGGGATATTTTTAAGGACAAAAAGTCACTCCGAATAATCAAACAAGTTATAATCCTCATTAAAAATGTGCAAATGACAGAGAGCTCCATATCCTCTTGTGTGTTTATAGTGACTAGTACTGTCAAGTGACTAGAAGCAAACCTACTCCTCTATGACAGGAGCATATTTTTGTTATTAAAAACAGCGAAACCTTCTGGCACAGCATAGCCCAGGGCAATTTATAAATTAAATGCGAAAAGCTCTCAGTCCCACATTCGAGCTTTGATTAAAATAACTGCTATGGTTTATATTTTTCTGTTGCATTAACTTTAATTATGTGCAACTCCAATGCGGCAAATCCCATTAAAGTCAATCAAGTTGGTTTAGATTTACTCCCAGCTTAAATGCCACAACTTCGGTGTATGAGAATCAGCAAAGGAATTCTTCTGCACGAGGTCACTTACTCAAGAGATGAGAGAGAAAATGTTACAAATAGAGTGTAGAGTTGTTGCAGTGTTGTAGAACACTCTACTTGTTCAAATGTGAACGCGAGGCAGCCAAGGTAAGGGTATTACAGTATTCATAACTCATATACAATCTTTCACAATGCTGAAGTGACTTCTTTTGTACAGAAGAATAAAGCAACTTCTAATAAAGAAGTTCCGATAATCAATTTGCAGCTTCTTTTGTTCCTTTAGTTCTGTGTGTATGTCATATTCTGCTAAATAAAAGACGAGGTCCATCTGTAACGTTAAGCCTAGCTGTGGAAGCACACACCTCGTTGCAGCGTATGCAGTGGGAACAACAATATGGCTCAATCCCTCTTCAGTTCTGCGATTGTTTGGTCCCAAACAATTTTCTGCAAGGTTGCGTTAACAACACCGCTTATCATCGCTGCAGCGGCGCTGGAACGACAGGAGTTACGGAACACAGCAAAATTGTTACAGCTCTATAAAACACGCAGTCATCTTGCTAAAGTAAGCAAGATTTTTGAGATCTTGAGTT